AACCAAGGTAATAGGAACACAAAACCCAAGAGCAAAATTCTATTCAGGGAAAAAATGGAGTCTCCTAAAAATGTAATCTCTGGGTCTCCCTCCTGCTTCAAAATTCAGGGAAGATGAAGAACAGGGAAAGTGATTTAGACATACACATGAATTAGGAACCAAAAATACCAATGAACTACTGGAGGTCAATTGCTTTAGATTAGCCACTCTCAAAGGGCAAGGAGAACATTCCAGAGGTGTTATGAGCCTCATAAGATGTGTTGTTGTGTCAAGAAAAGATATTGTTGCTGAAGAACCCTAAGCCAATGGCTTTCTTACTGGATGCTGTCTACTTCCAGGTAAGCATTATTCAATTGAACTCCTTGAAACATTTTGTTTGTTTGTTTTTTTCCTTCAGAGACAGAATATTCCATTTCAATCTGAACCAGGTAAAGATTTCATGGGTGGGGAAGAAGGAGAGAGGTTCTACCAACCTTTTCCCTCAAGCCTCCCTCACTCCATCATTATTGAGCCCTTTCATCACTGGGCTATTTCAAGAGGAAGCTTCCTGAAAAGCGGATTCTACACACTTAGGAGTTGGAAAGGGATTTCAGAAGTGACTGCCACTTCTTCCAAACTTGATGGCTACCTAGTTCCTGCCTACTTCTCTTAATGTCAATTCAACTGAGATTTTATGAATGGCTCATTGGTAAAACTGAAAATGGTATCGGCAGGCAATTTACATTGTTTCACAGAAATTGCATCAGGGCAACCTTTAGTGCACACATCACTAACAACATTAAAACTCTTCACTTGACTTCTGTCAGTTTCCATTCTTTCTTCCAGTATAATATATACAAAGGAGGGGGAGAGTTTAAGTATTCTTTGGCCTCTAAAAAGTTAATACTTCCTGCATAGATTACATTTCATAAATTTCAGGTGCCAAGCCATCAAGACACCTAGTAATTGGCCTTCTCTCTTACCCCACACATCTTCCAGTTCCCATCTCTGTGACTTCACACAGGCTCATAGTTTGGGTTTTGCTAGCTCAGAGTGTAAATAGCAGCTGTTTCTCGTGTGGCCAGAATTCTGAGTGTCTTCCTCTCCCAAAATGATTCTTTTATGAAGGCAAACTAGGCCATCTTTTGCTTCAGTTCTTACCTAGGCTTTAATTACTGAATGGGCTTTGCCTCAGACAAACTCAGAGCTGGGAAAGACTTTAGTTTAAAAAGGTCCAAGTCTCCCATTGCCTCCTGGGCCATCATCAGTCATCCTGACCTATGTCTTACCACTGGAACCTGATGACTCTGGAGGAGAGTGAGGCTGATGATTTGCACAGCCGTGCCTCACTTAAATCCAATTCACTTGCAAGTCAAGACACCACCCTCCTGATGTCATTGGTCCTCTTGGAGAACAAAGGACAAATAGCAATGACTTTACACAGGTTGAATATTTCTAGGAAATCTTTAGAGACACTTCTATATATCTTAAGTGACTCTAATTTGCATCTCAGTCTAAGACTGAGAATCCAGCCAGTTTATTCTTTACTTTAAGTAGACCATTCTGCAGACCACAGACCTCAGGCCTCACCTTCCCAGCTGGGCTCTGCTGTGGCCCTTCCCATCCAATGCTCTGTGATGTACAGGCAGAACTGTGTCTGCAGCAGAGAACCCCTCCACACCCCCCCACACACACACAAACAAACAAACACAATGCCTCTGCTGCTGCTTCTTGGAGCTGAGCCTGGGCCAGGGACCCTGACTCCCAGAGAGTCCAATTCCTGTAATGTGAATTTGCATAAAGCAAGAACTGTAGGCAAATGCCCTATGGCAACATACTGCCCATTTTCCCCCTTGTTTTATATTTCTTACCTGAAAAGCCAAAATAAAGATTAAATAGGTAGAAGGGGCTGCAGACCAGCTCCTAGATCCAAAATAAATCTGCCAAGCCATGGTACAAAGACCTCCTCACCCAAAATGGACCAAAGAGAAGGTTTCTCATTGAAATATTTGGATTGAAGTCCTCAGGGTAGTGGCAGTAACCACTAAGTAATGGATTTTGTTCAGGATCTAGAGAACTCTGAGCTAAATTAGTAAAGAATGTCAATGGTGAGATACTGAATATAAGGAGGTACAAAAAGGACAGCACTACTAGATGTCTGTTGGTTCAGAGAAACAATTACCTGGGCAAAAATATGATCTGTGACCCTCAGGTAAAAGCATCTAAAAAGGAGGTTCTATGGGGTTTTCATTAGCTTCCTGCTCAAGCCAAAGAAGATTCCTTATAAACCACATGCCCAGAGGTCCACCAGCTCAATTTCCAGTCAATCTACTAGGGAGCAAACGACTCAAATTGCCCTGGATTTGTTCTGTAGCATCTTGTCTCACATTAACCCCAGCTGGTGGTGTGGAGGTATGAGGGTTGGAGTTGCTCAAGATCCACTAGCATTCTGGCCCATGAAAAAGTCATACAAAATATGTAACATAGTCTACTGAAATCTCTCATTAAACTATTCTGAAGAAATGTGTGATCTAAAAAGTTACCTTATTGTGTTAGATATTTATTACAAGATACGCTATAGTAAATCCAACACACTTTGTGACAACATTGAGAAGGAGCCCTTTTTGCAAAGAATACTCATGGCTCAGTACAGAGAGCAATAGATTTGTAGTCGAAGACTCAGGTTCAAATCTTGCCTCTGATATTTACTATCTATGTGATCTTGGAGAAATCATTTCACTTGTTTGGGCCTTAGGATTCTTACCTCTATAAAGAAGGTTTAGACTAGAAGGACTTTAAGGACTGAATCTATAACCTAAATCTAATCATCAGTCTGGGGCTGCTAGGTGGCACAATGGATAGTGCACTGAGCTTACAATCAGGAAGACTCAGCTTTCTAAGTTCAAATCCAGCCTCAGACATTTACTAGCTGCGTGACCCTAAGCAAGTGACTTAACCATGTGTGCCTCAGTTTCTCATCTGTAAAATGAGCTAGAGAAGGAAATGGCGAACCATTCCAGAAACTTTGCCAAGAAAACCCTAAATGGGGTTACAAAGAGTCTGACATCACTGAAACAACCGAACAACAGTAACAATGATCAGTCTATAAAATCTCCAAAGACCCAGAGGCATTCCAGGCTGCAAGTGGCCTAGCTTTTCATCAGATTTTGGAGATCTTAGTCCTTATTTTGGATCTCTAGATAGATTCTAGATTCTCAAGGATCTCCTGATCTAGCTGACTTCTTGATAGCAAGGAGAATCATTACACTCACTTGTTTCAGTCTGACCTGGAGTGGAGACTCAAGCTTCATGGGGATATTATGGTTTACAGTTTAGAACAAGATCATATTCACCTAAGTAGTCACCTATTGTTTGGAGTGTGTTTATCTGAAGGTATTATACAGACTCAAAAGACACTGACATTACCCAGATGCCCAAGTCCCACCGACAGTATATTTTTTCACACAAATCTGATATTCTACTTCCCAGGCATATTAATTATAAAGTGAAGAAGAAAGGAAGAAATCATAACAATACTCGTATATACATTTACTATGACCTTTCAGAAACCTTGATTAATTATAGGAATTCTTACCCAACCCCCCCATCCTCATTCATTTGCTAAAGGACAGTGAATAAATCCAATTACACAACAATCAGTTACAAAGTCACACAGCATTTCTCTTTCCTAATAAAGGAAATTCTTCCTTTGGAAAGTCCATGCATTCTTTAAATCATTGCTCAGAGTAAAAAAAGACAAAACACTTTACTATAAGAATTACAATAGAAAATTCTTATGTGAAGATTCCGTGTAGTTATGCCAATACTTTTATTGCAATGAAAGACACACAGACTCAGGAAATGAGTGAAAAGGGATTAAAAGTTTGTATTTCTGCTTTGCTTGCAAGTTCCGGTCAGTCTATCAATAAGCATTTGTTAAATAGGAACCAGATTCCAGTCACTGTGCCTAGTGCTAGGGATGAAATGAATGGAAAATAAAGTTTGACATTTGGACACTGAGATTAGCATACTACTGGAATGCAGAAGTTACTTAACGAATGCCTGTTAAGTTGACTTGAGCTTCTCCGGTCTACGGAAAAGACATCACTTCGGCTACCCTGACTCCCTGATCTTGGCTTTCTTCACAGAATTGAAAATAAGTCACTCAGTCCTTTCAGTTGTGTCCAATGCTTTGTGATCCCATTTGGGGTTTTCTTGGCAGAAATACTGGAGTGGTTTGCCATTTCTTTCTCCAGTTCATTTTACAGGTGAGGAAACTGAGGCAAACAAGGTTAAGTGACTCGCCCAGAGTCACACAGCTAGTAAGGGTCCTAGGTCAGATTTGAACTCAGGAAGATGCATTTTTCTGACTTCAGGGCCCACACTCTGTGCACTATGGTGCCACCTAGCTGCCTTGAAAATAAATAGTGCCTTCGGATAAGAGGTACCAAAGAATCACAAGCAGCTAACTTGTAGCGGCAGCCACAGATCATTACAATCTGAAGTCAACATTGGCAGTTTAGAGGGAGATGGAAAAACCAAGAACTAATGGGCTGTGTTTACTAATCCTTTCACTTCACTCCTTTGCTGTTCTCCACCCTCCATGATAACTAACTTTTTGTTTCCTATTATTTCATATTTTTTAAAAAAGAAAAAAAAAACTGAATTGTTATAAAATAAACTCAAATTTATCTATGACAATAAAACAATCCAGCATCTTAAACCTGCAGTCCATCTGCAGGCACCGATGGCGACTGTTGCAAAACAACAATCGTAACTGAAAAAATCAAGATAAAGAAGTAAACATCGGTTTATTTTCATATAAATTACAAAGACAAGGAAGAAATTCAGGAAGGGAAGTATTCACGTAAATACGGGAATTTGTACACCAGGAGAGTTTGATAGAATGAATCAAGCAGATGATAATATAGTGGGGACTCAATGATAAATGTAGATATAAAATTGGCCAGACATAATAACACCACCACCGTAGCATCATTCTATCACTGTTTAAGACTCACCTGTACATGAGAAATCATCCACACGGATATATCCTGGGATACAGTCACAGCGATACGATCCCGGCAGGTTCACACACACCGTGTTAGCATGGCAATAATGCATCTTAGCGGCACACTCATCAATATCTAAAGAAGAGAAGAACCAGAAAGAGACCTATCAGTGAAGCATCCCAATGCCCAGTCAAAAGCACAATAATTTTGGGATGAAACAGAAGACAAGGACCCTTTAAAGCAATCAAAATTGTTCTGACATGTTAAGAGAAAAAGCTTAACTGTGAAACAGCACATGAATGGGACTGATTCTCAAACCAAAAAAAAAATTACTTTTAGAAAAGTGTGACTCAAGACATAACTGCTAACAACCTAGGAAATAGGGAGGCAGAGTCTTGCTTCTACATCTTCCCTCTTAAAATAGAGAATTCTTTAAAAACCCAAAGCCAAGGAGAGTTGTGTCCATGGTTTTGATATATGCTAATTAATATTTATCATATGTCCACCATCTAAAGCATACTTTTGCCTAGAAAGATCAAGGGAATAGGTACAACTGTTTTTGTCTTTCTTACTAAGATATGTTTTAATCTATATACTGCAAAATGCTGTCACAGACGGGTTCATTTTGCCCACAACAGACTGCTGATATAGCAGCTGTAGCAGGCATGCCCACAGACATGATGCAAATTACTACAGTTATCCAGCAATCCCATAACACATCCTGTGGGATATTATAATGGGATGTTCCAGCACAATTCAGTTTTATTAATGGGGGAGGGGAGAACTATTTTTGTCCCTCTCTCTGCTTTCATGATAAGAACTGAATTAACTAGTAATTGGAAGTAAGTTGAAATATAGTCTGGTTGTAGTCATATAAGGAATATGCTGTTGAAAATTAGATTGTGTCTACTCTAGTAGTAGGACAGCTAGGTGGAGCGTCAGTCCTGAAGTCAGGAAGACCTGAGTTCAAATCTGGCCTCAGACACTTACTAGCTGTGTGACCCTGAGCAAGTCACTTAACTTTGTTTGCCTCAGTTTTCTCATCTGTAAAATGAGCTGGAGAACAAAATGGCAAAGCACTTTATTACCTTTACCAAGAAAACCCCAAAATGGGATCATGAGGAGTCAGACATGACTGAAATGACTGAACAATAATAATAACTCTAGTTGTCACTTTGAAAAACATATGCTTTGCAAAGGAGATAATGGAATAAATTAATTAGTTGACTACGTACTTCTAAAGATCATCATTGTGACACTTCCTAAAACCCTTAGACTTGGTTGCTGAATGTTAAAATAGGCAGAGTATGTATTCGGGAAACTCCTTTCTTTCACTAAAAGGAAGCATTTTTTTTTAAAACACAATTAAAAAAAATCATAGAGTAGGAAAAAAGAAGGGGCAAAGGAAAATAAAGAAGAAAGCAAATAAAAGAAAGAAAAGGAAAGGGAAGAAGTAGAGGAGGAGGTAAAGAAGCAATTACATTAGTTTCCTTCTAACAAGGTCTTCAAAGAGAGACACGTAGTTAGTTAACTTCCCAGAAACCTGATTTTATTTATGTAACATCCAAACAATGGAGACACATTGGTGACCTTATTTGAAAGAATGGCAGAGCAAGTTGTGATGTATGATTACAACAGAACACTACTGTGCTATAAAAAAAGATAAGCTCGTTAATTTTCAAAAACATCGATAGATTTGCACTAAATAATGAACAAAATGATAAGAAATAAGAGATCATTGTATACAGTAACAATACTGTTTTAAGAACAACTTTGAGCAACTAAGTCATTTTGACTATTATGAATGCCCAAATTAACTACAAAGGACCTATGAAGGAAGATGGTATCTGCATCCAGAGAAATAATAGATAAACAGAAGCATATATAGAATGATCTTACATATTGATATGTATATATAGAGATATGTATAACATACATATATAGATATTTGTAAACACATGTATCTCTACAGTGAGGGGAAGGCAAAGAAAAAAAGAAAATTACACGATAACTTTATTGTGTATTAAAAAGGAATAGTAGATTGTACGTAATAGATTTACAGTTTCATGCGCAATCATCTTTTTTTAAAATTCTACAATGTTATAGGTATCCTTGTTTTATCTCATAAATTAAAAATAAAATAAATATTTTTTAGAGAGAAAGAATTGACCAGTCTCAGGGTCATGTTAACAATGGCCTTTGAACAGCTATATTTGGTGCCCAACAAAAAAGTCCCAAAACATTCCTTCAGGCACATAGGTAGGAATTAGTTCTTGATAGTTTCTTATAAGGGGAGAAAAAAAAGTAATCTACGGAGCTTCAGGTAAGATTTGAACATCAATCTGAACTTCTTGCTCCTAAATGAAATTTATAAACATCGACAAATATTTAGCTAGTTTCATGAGTCAGTGGAGACAAACAAAATTTATAACCTGATGGTTCCCCTTGGGCTGGTGAACCCCTCCACCATTAGATGTCTATAGACTGACTTTATTGTCTGCAGACCCCTCAAGTTAAGAAGAGAGAAGTTCATCCCTAGTAGGCTGGTTACCAAATGATAACTTCTTTGGCCTTGATAGGTCATGAAATAAAGAAAAGTTATAATTGCGATAATAAGTAACATATTTTAAGATTTACAAAGCCCTTTACATACATCTTTTCTTTGAATCCTCATAAAAATCCTCAGAGGTAGATAGTAGATGTCTTATTATGTACATCTGACAGATGAGAAAATTGAGTCAGTGAATTTAGGTGATTTGTCTATGGTCACATATTGATAAATATCAGAGGTAAGATCAAAGCATGTCTCTTCAATTCCAGCACTGTTTTCAGCACAATGGACTGACACTTAAAAAAAAGGCATTATATTACATTTTAATACCTTTTCTTACAACAACCCTATGAAGATGGGTTGTGTAAGTATCAATAATTCAGTCAAAATTTATGAAGTTCTTACTATGTTCCAGGTATTGTACTAAACACTAGGGACAAAAAGAGAAGTAGAAACATGGTCCCTCCTGTCCAACCAACATTAAAATCAGAGAGAGAGAATGTGAAAAAATTGTTCAGACAAGATATATACAATGCAAATGCAAGGGAACCTCAGTGGGTAAGAATCTGAGTTGAAGGAATTCAATTATTGTACTAATTAAAATATTCTCCACTGTACCATGCTAGCTAGTATCACGATACTCTGCCCTAGTCAGATCACCTCTGACGTGATCTTCAAAGCCTAGGAAGGCAGCATAGCATAGCAGATTGAATAGCAGATTTGAAGTCATGAAGACCTAGGCTTTCTATGCACTATGTCAGAAGTGTCAAACAGGCAGCCAAGGGGCCTCGTGGTCCATAACCATTTATGAAGCTCCTACTATGTTCCAGGCATTGTGCTGAGCTCTGGGGATACAACAAATGGCAAAAGATAGTCCCTGATCTCAAGGAATTCACAGTAATGGGGGAAACAACCTGCAAACCACTAGACCACTACATACAAACACGGTATGTAAAATTCACCATGGGATTATTTTAAATTAGTTTCTTTGGTGCATTTAATAAGATTTCAACTTGAAAATTTCACGTATACTGCTACATTTCAAGACCTACTAAACCTAGCAGTTATTCCTCAGTAACATAATGCCTACTTTGCTCCTGTTAGTCAGCTGCCTACAACTGGGAGAGACTTCCCTTTGCGTGAAGCCTTAGGATCACAAGAAAGAAAGCACTTTAACGACCATCTGAATCACTGAATTTCAGAGTTGAGAGGGGCGGCAGTAGGCATTTACCCTCTGACCTACACCTGAAAGAAACCCCTCCATTAACAAACCCAAGAGATAGTCATCCACTGGGTCAATCAACCACTCTGCTCATTTCATTTTCTCATTATTAGAAAATTTCCCAGACGCTAAGACTTAATTTATATCTTGGATACTACCACCCACTGGTCCCAATTCTGTCCTCTAGAATGAAACAGAACATACCTAATTCACTTTCTACACAAGAGCTTTTAGCAAACTTGAAGAGAGCTAGCCTATTTTAATCTCATGTCTTGTGTTCAGTGCAAATATCAACAGTCCCCATAAGACATGGACTCCCACCTTTCACTGTTTTCATAGTCCTTTTCTGTATAATCTCCAGCTTATCAAAGTCCTTCCTAAACTGTGGCAGCCAGAAGTAAAAGTGATACATCATGTATGATCTAACCAGGGCAGAATATCGAGATACTAGCACCTTCATATTCCTGGAAACTGTTTTGTCTGCCATATCGCATTATTGTTTCATATTGAACTTGGGTTCTATAAACATCTCTAGTTTGTTTGTTTGTTTTCTTTTTGTTTTTTGTTTTGTTTTGTTTTGTTTTTTTCAGACAAACTGCTGCTTAATCATGGCTTCTCCATCTTGCATTTGCAAAGTGAAGAATTTTTTAACAGATATATGAAACTTGACATCTTAGGCCTGTCAAGATTTTTTTGGGTCCTAACTCTGTTAAGCCCCCTCACTTTATAACTAAGGAAATGGAAACCCACAGGATAATGTCTTCCCCTTTCCATAAATAAGTAGCAAGAAAAAGAGCTGAGATTTCACTCCAGGTCTTCTGACTGCAAAATTGATTCTATTTAGACTACTTTATTCTGTCTCATTCTGATACCTATAGATATTGTCATTTTTAAGGGGAGAGGAACCTAGAGTTTTGGGCCAGAAACTTCTGGCATAATGTCCCATACAATTTGTTAAATGAAATAATAACAACTTCACAGAAGTATAGATATTTTAAGTGTCTTATGTACCATAGGACTCCACTGTCATTTCTGGTATCTGTTGCCACTCATTTACTTTGACGTCATTTTTGATGTCACCTACAGCTCATTAAGGAAAATGAGAGCTAGAGCTAGCATGGCACCCAATAGCCCCAAAGACTGAGTTGGGGCATCCAGGAAAAGAGTGAAACAAAAGGATGACCTCAAATGTTGAACTCTGTCAATGCCACTCTTTGAGCCACTTGCATAGGTCTTCCCTTTATTGAGTCTCCTCCTGAACCTTAATTAAGTTAAAGCCCTTTCACATAGTCATTGACTCATGAAAGAACTCCCCATGCACCAAATGTCCAGTGTGATATCTGGTGTTCTTGATCCATGGCT